GGTGATAAATTTACCTTTACCTTTGGACTACGGATTGTGAATAGGATATATAAAAGTTTTGGTGTTTTACCTGAAATTTTTGAATCTGATGTCAAAACTTCTTTGCTTTTTTAAAAATGTCAAATTTTGACAGATGGTTAGTTTTTTCTTAGTTGTGAAGAGTTAAATTTTCTAATTTGAAATATATATGGTTTAACTGCTTTTAATTAAGCCGTTTTGGAAATATCAAGGTCTAAACTTCAAGAAAATAATAGATTGAAACACATCAGCTCTGTTCCTTCCAACCGACATAAGAACCGTTCTAGAACGGAAGTTTCCAGTTGCCCACCTATTTTTCAATAAGTTGAACGTTTATCCTAATTGACAAATGAATTGATCGACTAGAAATTACCGTTCTTACGGTTCTCATGTCGGTTGAAACAGAGCTGATGTATTTCAATGCATTATTTTCTTGAAGTTTAGGGCCCGATATTTCCAAAACGGCTCGATTAAAAGTTTGAAATCAGAAAAATCGATGCTTTTCAACTATGAAGTCATATAGTGTAGTAGAAGTCATAGGTTGTTCCATAAGAAAAAACTAACATCCGTCAAAATTTGACATTCCTAAAAAAACAAAAAAGTTTTTGACATCGGATTGAAAAATTTCAGGTAAAATCCCAAAACTTTTGTATTTAAAATTTTTTCATATCTCTTTACATAACCCTTGTAAAGGAGAGGTCAATATGTAGGGAAAGACCCTGTACCTATTTTTTTGCGATGCACAAATTGGGTGACGAATTCGTCCAATGATAGGTCTGATCTCTCAAGAGTCAGTGACAATTTGCAACCTGTCAGAAACAATCGCTCAGCGAAGTTACCGATTTATCTTGGACCAAAGGCATTGATAACATACCTATATAGGTGATGTGCTTGTCATAGTTTGCAAACTGTCAGAGACTCTTGTGAAAACAGACCTATTGACACTGTGCAATTCACTGTTTTCTCCACCTGATATCGGGATAAGGGATGTTCAATGAAACACAGAATATTTATCTTCACTGTTCTCTGCCTGCCTCCTCAATAACGAATGACGTGTTAGTCCGCGCGGTATTTCAGTCAGCTGATGTTCATACGGTCTTCGCTTATACAGGAACGAAGATAATAGAGAGATTTTGAGCCACCTATTTGATCAACGTTATACGTTATCGGTTATTTTGCTCATGCGCAATAGTGAAAAAATAACCGGTCCGCCTAATATGCGGTTACGTACTACGCTAATTATAGAGAGATTTTGAGCCACATGAATTTTGAAGTACGTTACACGCTAAACGATAAACTGAGCAAGCACAGTCTTTGAAAAATATAGCGGATGACATTTAGCCCTTTTTTAGTTTTTGAAGCCAAAGCTTGTGTAGGACGTTATACGCTAAACATTAATGAAAATTTGTGGTTAGGATTTTGATTTTGTGTAACTAATATCAAATTTTATGTTGTCTGTTGTTTATGTTAGAATTGTTAGGTATTCATTTGTATTTTGTTTTGTGTAATTGTGTACTGCACTTCATGGATAACATTGAAAATATAAAAGGACGTCGGAATGCGGAAAAGATGTTAAATCGTTATCGGTTAATAACGTTCCGTTTATTTCCACATAATTAGCGTAGTACGTTACCGCTTATTAAGCGGACCGGTTATTTTTTCACTATTGCGCATGAGCAAAATAACCGATAACGTATAACGTTGATCAAATAGGTGGCTCAAAATCTCTCTAAAGTGGAAATAAACGGAACGTTATTAACCGATAACGTTTTAACATCTTTTCCGCATTTCGACGTCCTTTTATATTTTCAATGTTATTCATGAAGTGCAGTACACAATTACACAAAACAAATTACAAATGAATACCTAACAATTCTAACATAAACAATAGACAACATAAAATTTGATGTTAGTTACACAAAATCAAAATCCTAACCACAAATTTTCATTAACGTTTAGCGTTAAAAGTCCTTCACAAGTTTTGGCTTCAAAAACTAAAAAAGGCTAAATGTCATTCGCTATTTTTCAAAGATTGCGCTTGCTCAGTTTATCGTTTAGCGTATAACGTATTTCAAAATTTATGTGGCTCAAAATCTCTCTAATTATTCTTTCATCGGGTGATCAGATCGGACGGTCGCCGGATCCCCCGATTTCTTGTAATGTCATCAATTAAATAATAAGTTTTAGTGTGGTTTTTTTTTCTGCTTTGTTGGTAATTTGATAGCATTCCTAAGCGCTTGGTCTTGTGCCGCCCCTTGCAGTCCTACCGCCCCGGGCCATGGCCCCCATGGCCCTAGGGTAAATACGCCACTGACAACACATACAACATTTTTGCTTTATGAAGTTTTTACCTACCCCTTGCCGTTTTTCAATAGGGGTAGTTTAAAAAAAAATTATTTTTCTACAAAAAAAAATTCTCAATAAAAGTTTTATAAGATTACATTTCCTACAATTTTTCTCCATAAACTTCTTTTATAACTCACCCCCATTCAGCGGGGGGTTTTAGTTATCATAACTCAAGACTTGAAGTTATTAAACCCAGAGGGGACCTCTGTTGTCCCAGAAAGAATTTTAGTAAAACTGAATAAACAACAAATGTTTCCAATTGCTACTAATAAGAGTAGGTATATTAATCACAACTATTGAGGAAAAAATAGAGAAAGGACCCTGCCCAAAGCATACGGAAATTGTGTTTATGTCAGATTTGGCTGACTTTTGTATATAATATATATCACGCCTTTCTGATTAAAAGTTACCATTGCACCAATCCTGAAAAATGACTCCACATAGCACAACACTGTGCCACAACCTTACCTATTCTATACCTATTCGTGTTACATGGAACCTCCATTACAATGTTCAAGCGTTTTACTTGCTATCTATGAAATTAATTTTCTCCAAAAGGAGTCATTTTTCAGGATTGGTGCAATGGTAACTTTTAATCAGTAAGGCGTAATCTACATTATATACAAAATTCAGCCAAATCTGACATAAACACAATTTCCGTATACTTTGGACAGGGTCCTTTGCTGCAGAAAATAACCATGGTTTGTTACTACAATTACATTTTCGATCATTTTTAATTACCAGAACTAAAAAGACAGTAACTAAACAGTTTAGTTGGCGAGATATTCTCATTTTATTAGTTCAAATTTACTTAGAGTTTTGTGTACTTAATCAAGTTTTTTTTTTCAAGTCTTTCAATTTTTTCTCTTTAAATTCCTTAATTTTATTACCAGTTTCTTATGTAACCCATATTTTTAGCCTGAAGAACACCAAAATATATGGTCGAAACGTCGCTGAATAAATAACAACGTCTTTTTTTGCTGTCCTATTCCCGCTACTCCTTTTCACTATTGTTTTTTTATATCTATAAGTTTTTTCAAAGGTATTAATCCGTTTATTCTCGTTTAAACTTATGTTCCTATATTTTTTTTTTGTATAAGAAACTGCCGTTTAGAAATAGCTATTTATACAATAAGTTACGAAATGAGCGTCTTTTAGGCACGCGACGTGAAAATTGTCCAACGAGGCAAAGCCGAGTTGGACAACACGTCGAGTGACTAAAAGACATCGTTTCGTAACGTATTGTATACAAGATTTTTTCTACTGGCATTTTATAATAAAAAAACACAATTTTATTTCATGTGAATAAGTCGATTACACCCAAAATCTTTGTCACCTGCTTTTACTTGACACCTGACACTTTTCATGCGATTTTCTTTTCAAAATTCGACATCAATAATTAAAATCCTAGAAAGTAGGTAATAACACAAAGTTCTGTTTTGAGTAACCCAAACGTTCAATTCAGTAATTCCATTTTCAATATTCATAATAAATACAAAACAAAATTCAAATATGTGTTTAGTGTTATTTTTTATTTCTGAATAATGAATGACACTTTTAGGCACTAGTGCTTAAAAATTACTTTTACGCACTCATAAGTCACTTTTACGCATTCAAAAGTCACTTTTACGCACTGAGTGCCTAAAAGTAACTTTCACGCACTCAGTGCCTAAAAGAATGTCGTTTCAAAACTGAAATGACAATCGAAAAGTTGCTATTATGAAACGTCAGTAGAAAAATAAAATTTTGTTTCATACTGGTAATTTTTTTTTTACTACCTAGTTAGGATTTATTATAGCTTTTTACGCTTATTAAAAGGTGGTCGAAAACTAAGCTAAAAATGGTCGGAAATTGCGACCAGGGCTAAATGGCACTTTTTTCATATTTTTACTAAAATAACACATTTTATGAAACAAAAATTTAAAAAAATATATAAAAGATGAATTCACAAATCTCCAGACTTTTAGAAAATCTTAGTCTTATTAATATATTTTAACCAGACATATTTTAATCGTGAAGTGGAATTTTTAGTTAACTGGTCGAAAACTAGCACAATGATCCTATGTTGCTTATTTTCGATAGGCCTGGAGGAAAATGCTTTGAAAGCCAGACCAGAGATAATTTATTTGAAAATGTTGAAAATGCACTATCTTTGTCATCAGAGAGGCAATCCCAGTCAATTATTTTGGTCTTTAGAGAAAAGTTTGTGAGTACTGCTTCATGATCTGACAACCCTGAACTAAAGACAGTATAGTCAACGAAGCTTGGATCAAAAGATGACACGACGTACCTAGTCGATAGTGCTAGATCTGGTTTTAGTTATTTGGGTTGGAGAGTAAACATGCATGACTATACCAAAAGATACAAGTAAAGACTGAAGAGAATCCTGAGCAGAACACACATTGGAAAAATCTATGTTAAAGTTGCCACACAAAATTAATTTCCTATTGAGAGGGAAGGATTCAAGCAAGCTTAGTAAGTTTTGAAAAAATGTAACCAATATGTCAACGTCAGGTGTTCTGTAAATGCAAACAATGTAGAGGTCGTAGATATTGTTGTAGACTATAGAAAATACAAATAATTTTTCAGATAATAAATTGTCGAACTTGGTTACTGCCAAAAAGTTGTTATTATTATTTTTATTATCAATCTTAATATTAGTTTACGAGTAAAAGTAGGTACGTATTTATAATATCGCAATACCCCAATCAATTATTATTAATCAGTCGGTCAATTTTCAGAAGGTTAAACAAACAGTTCAAGAACGACGTTTTGCCATTCTCCATGCCCAAAAAAGAAAAAACAAAAACAAAACCTAGATATCAAAACGTCTATTTTGATTACAAGTTGCAAGCGCGCGCTTTCATTTTACACATATGATGACGCGAAAAAGTAGGTGCAAAAACCGTAAGCCCCGGCGACTACTGCTTTTAGAGGAAGAGTGTTTCTGTTTGTCTATCTTACTCGGCCTAGAAGCTTTAATACAAGATAAACATAATTTGGAACATAAATGTTTTTGTTTAAACTTAATCAAAGTTAATCCAAGTGAAAGCTGTTGAACTTGGTACCGTTTAACTCTTCATTGAAATTTAAAAATAGTCGGGTGCATCAGTGTGTCGGATAAGGTGGTCGAAATCAAGGTCAATTACAATGCAAATGAAGACATTTTCGCGGTTTCTAAATATTTAGTTTTCCTAAAAAAAAAAAATTCACATCAATAAAACCCAAGAATGTCTTATGGTAGTATGAGATGGTTTCTGGCAGAGTTTCGGTAATTTTCTTGTGCTGTTTTTTGATTGGCGATGTTTGCGGTGATTGGAGCGATATTGAGAAAGGTAAGTTTTTAAAAATACGCTTAGTTTCATAAAAAATACATACACATTGATTTTCTCCCAACTTTGACGTCACTTTCTCAAACAATCAATTAGCAATGAAAACCCAAAGCCCAGTAGATAAAAATCAACAAATACACTGAGAAAATCCCGCCAACTAAACTGTTTAGTTACTTTTTTTTTAGTTCTGGTAATTAAAAATGATCGAAAATGTAATTGTAGTAACAAACCATGGTTATTTTCTGCAGCAAAGAACCCTGCCCAAAGTATACGGAAATTGTGTTTATGTCAGATTTGGCTGAATTTTGTATATAATGTAGATCACGCCTTACTGATTAAAAGTTACCATTGCACCAATCCTGAAAAATGACTCCTTTTGGAGAAAATTAATTTCATAGATAGCAAGTAAAACGCTTGAACATTGTAATGGAGGTTCAATGTAGCACGAATAGGTATAGAATAGGTAAGGTTGTGGCACAGTGTTGTGCTATGTGGAGTCATTTTTCAGGATTGGTGCAATGGTAGCTTTTAATCAGAAAGGCGTGATATATATTATATACAAAATTCAGCCAAATCTGACATAAACACAATTTCCGTATACTTTGGGTAGGGTCCTTTCTCTATTTTTTCCTCAAAAGTTGTGATTAATATACCTACTCTTATTAGTAGCAATTGGAAACATTTGTTGTTTATTCAGTTTTACTAAAATTCTTTCTGGGACAACAGAGGTCCCCTCTGGGTTTAATAACTTCAAGTCTTGAGTTATGATAACTAAAATTACTTGTACTGTGAAAAAGATTATTATTACCCACAACAATTTTTTGTTCAGCTATTACTAAAATGTTTAGTTAAATCTTGTTTTCGGGTAACCTCGATTTCATTCGGTCGAGCATTTCTTTCCGAATTCTTTTCAGTCCCAATATTCATTACGCACAACTCACAAGTACGTCGCACGTCAAGGTTGACGAAAATCAACGACGATAGCAACTATAACTAGCAAGAACAAGAAAATATCAACTAACAAGCAAGAAAATATTACCTATAAATAAATAAAAAAATTCCGATTTATTTGACGGCAAGTTTGAATTGTTAGGTAACTAATAATAATATACGTTATTTGAGGCAGGTTTACGGCTTACGCAGCTCTCAAGCCAAATGCATAATGGAATATTCTGGTGTTAGTATGCCTAATTCAACTCCTTCGTCTCCTTCTGTGCAACAGAAAAAAGTGTTTTTATATGCATACAAATTCAGAAGCCTGAAGTAAAAGAGACAGTATATAAGTACTTACACCAATAACCTACACTGAGAAAAAAAATAGGCTGTTATAACTAAAAAATTTAGTAAACGTAACTAGAAGCGTGGATAGCATAGAGGACAGGTCAAAAATTTAGTTGCAACGGCAAATATGAATTAGTTCGTACGACATACGACTTTCGAGGTTATATCAACTAATATTTTAGTTAGCCGCAAACATTTATTCCTAACCTAAAAACTTGTTGCAGCAACTATTATTTCATAGTTGTCCGGAGTTATTCAAGCTATAATTTTGTATTGGTGTAACCAGTATAATTATCGATGACAACTCATTTTCTTAGTTGACTTTGCCTTCTTGCTTAGCAGTGGCAACTAAAAAGTATTTGTTATAATAGCATGGAAACTATTGTTTGCCCAGCGGTTCTGAGTCTACGGAAGGAATTCGGACGTAAATGTGCGATGTTGCACGTTTAATTATAAAAAAAGCGAAAATACTAGGCATGAAGATAGTTCATTTGAAAATCCCTTTGATTTCCAAGGTACAACTAATTTGAAATGGCTGCAATAACAAAACCAGAGTGGTCGTGATAACTATTTTTCTAGTAATGACTACTATAAAAATTCAACCCACATGCTTAGTTAACGCGTTTTTCTCAGTGTATTAGATATTACCTATAAGGACCTTATTACTTCCGTATGCATTGTGTATTATTATTTATCTTGACTTTGAAAGTTAGGAAGCTAGCTAGAAACATACGTTTGTTGTATTTTCTTAAATTGTTTTGATAAGAATTTACTTTTGAAGAATACCTCTTTATTTATTTTTGGTAACCTACATTTTCAAGGTTGTTAATTTTTCTAGGACGATAGAAAAATGTATTTTTTTTGTGGTGATTTGAGATGTGATCTAGCAATATTTTAACACGTGGTGCCTTAACTACTAGACCGTCAGATAATGACAGATTACAAATGTAAATTTTTTTCGAATAATTTTTTTTTCAAAACTGTCAATTTGTTTATACTGTCTTAATTTCCAATAAGTTATACCTAGTACTCTACCTAGCAGTTAAAAAAACAAAATATATGAAAATTTATATAGAGTTAACAAAAAAGACAAAATTGTCATTCAAATCGCTTTTGTTTAAATTAAGAAAAAGAGTTTAGACAAAAAATAACATAAATACCTGCATTATATAAATCTCAAAAGGACTATGATTACAAATAATTTTAAATTATAGTTAAAGTTGAAGTACTTAGGTATGCACCTGTAAAATATTTTCTCACTATAATTTAAAATCATTTTGTAATCATAGTCCTTTCGAGATCTATCTGCAGGTATTTAAGTTGTTTTTCAACTAACCCAATTTTTTAATTCTAACAAAAGGGATTTGTAATGGTAATTAAGTTATTTTTAACTACAATTAAATAAGTTTTTCAATACAACAACATTTGTTTGCAACGGCAACTAAGTTGTTTTTAGCCACAACTAAATATGTTTTTTATTACAACAATATTATTTGCAATGACAACTAAGTTATTTTTAGCCAAAACTAAAATCTAGTTGGTTGTAACTGAACTTTTTAGTTGTGATGAATAAAACTGGTTACTATCTGCAACTAATTTTACTTAGTTACAGCAATAAGATACTCGAACAATTAACTAATTTTTTTCATTTGAGACGACTATGCTTTCTAGTAGATAAATTTTAGTTGTCGCAACAAATTTGGCTAGCTGTCCCCTATTTTATGAAGATTTTTTGCTGCCATAACTAATTTTTTAGTAATGGCTACAAGTTTTTTTTTCTCAGTGTATGTATGACAGTTTTACCAAATGGAAGTTTGACTAAAACCATGTTTCATAAAGCATAAAGCTTAATTATAGAGTTTATATTGGTCGCGTCACTTCTTCCTAATGTGACATACAAATTTCTTCGTAGGAGTTCTCCGTTTTCTCATCATTATCATGATTGTGTCCATTACAGGTTGCTGATGGAGTAACCGGAAATCATGGATTCCTATCCATATCCATTGATTGATATTACGACAGGATAGTCCCATCTTTAGGAGTTCTCGCTTTCCATCCCATCCCATTTTATCCAGAAACGATGCATTGGAAACAATATCGTTCTACACGTACCTACCTACAATGCGACTGAGGTAGGAAATGTTTATTTCTTGATGTGTTCGACTAATTATCGATCTTCTAGTTCAGCCATTGGAAGTACATCCACATTCTTTACAAGATCGATCCACGAAATCTTGAACATAGATTATTTGAAAATCTTTTTAATTACAATGATTTTTCCGACAACATCCTGTCTAAAAAAAATTCACAGATTTCGCAATCCTTGCATTGCAATCATGGGAGACATGGGAAATGATAACCATAGGCGCCGGAACTTCAAAATTACTATGGGGGCTCGGGCTCCGAAAAAACACAAGTAAAATTATACAGACATACGAGACACAGGCCCAAATGGGACCAGTTGACTGATACACATTTCACTGCAAAATCACCATGCTGGAACATTGATGATCCTCCCTGTATATTATTGAAATTTGTGAATTATTGGCAACTCGGCAATACTCGGCTTTGGCAGCACCGCTTCGATTCGCCTTAACCGGGTAGAAGCTAATTCCTCTTATCACCTAAATATTTTTCTAGTAGGAAGATCCGGTCAGTACATAAATTTTCCATGATATACTTAGTAAAAAAAGCCAGTGTATTCATGATATTTATATTCATGTGATGGTTACAAATCATAAAAAAAACGAAAAGAATATAATTGTCGCGTTCACCAGCACTCAACATTGAGTGCTGGTGAACGCGACCAAGAATCCCAATCCGATTTTTTGAAAATACAGCTTTAAATACTACACAACAAAATAGCCAAATTCTTTGTTAAAGAAGTTATAGCAAAAACACCCAAATTTGACATAAAAATAAATAGTTGGGAACTCAATATTTTTGTAAAGAGTGATCTATTATAAATGTCATCCCCTCCTAACTTTATCATTTGACGTTTTTGATAAAAGTGACACACGCAAAAGTTTCATGAGATTGTCAAAAGTTTTTAACTAAGTCAGTATCAAGCATACAAAAAGTGTAGCAGAGCGAAGTTATATTTTTTCGAATGGAACACCGTGTATATTGTGTGCTTATTTGTTAGTCCCTTTCAAACTAATTTCAACCATATATGAGGCCGGTTTGCACAGCAATCACAAATCTGTCAGCGAGTTTCATTGGTTAAAAACAGTCAGAAACAGTCTCAAATAAATTCAGTATTCAGTTGTCTTAAGTTATTATTTAAAAATAAAATTAACATGAGACCTATGAAGAGGCTTTTGCGTTTTTCCCTATAACTATTAAAGATAAATATATCAAACCCTATATTGTTGAAATCAGGTTGAAGGGGACTAACAAATAACTGCACAATATACATGGTGTTCCATTTAAAAAAAAAAAAAAACAACTTCGCTCTGCTACACTTTTTTGACGCACCCTGTATGTTTAAAACTAACGTAGTTAAAAACTTTCGGCAATTTCTTAAAGCTTCTGTATTCGACACATCTGTCAAAAACGTCAAATCAGAAAGGTTAGGACGAGGTAACATTTATAATAGGTAGGTACTGTTTGTTTCATGAAGGTTTGCCTTCCTTTTTTAACAAAAAAAATTGACTGAAACAAATTAATAACGTCAAAAACGTACGTCTGTTTTTAAACCAGAAGTCATTCAATACAATACA